TTTTTCCTTGTTTTGTAAGGAACTTAATCACAGTGCGGTGCTCGATTTTCTTCAGCATTGTCACAGCAGTCGTCATGGTCATCTTTCACTGAGGATTCCTAGGGAACTAATGATCACACTTAACTGAAATCTTGCATGTATACCCTCAGATAGTGTCATTAGCTAATGAAATAATTAAATTACCCACATCAATAGCAAATCAACCCAATACCGAGAATACATTGAACGCCCCTCGTACCTAGTGCTCCCACTGCATTGTGCACTGAACTGAGCTCTTCCACGTGCTGATTCTGGTAGCAGCTGAGCAGGCCAGTTCAGTGAGTGGATAAGAAACCATCCGAGAACCTATCCTGGGTCCGAGGAGATAATTGCAGTAAGTAATGAGTGAGATGCTTTTTATAGTGTAACTTCTGGGGATCTTGGTGCCATGCTATATGCTATCAGATAGGATGCAGGCAGCTGATAACAAACCTGTATTTGCATCTCTATTTTTCTCCTTTTTATGGCTTTGTAAACTGTCTTTATGTGTGATTGATGTCCCACTGAACTTTTTTAAATGGACTGGCTTTTTGTTAGGTTAATATTAAGGATCATACTATAAAGCTTTTTTTTGTTTGTTTGTTTAGAAATCTGTGTTTGATTGCTGTGGTGAACTGGGCATCCCAATTCTGCTGACCTGCTTCAGCTGTAGTAGCATAAGCTATTTTCTGCAGCAGTAGTAGCACTGACCCCCCCGCCCCCCCATCATCTATCCTGGGAAGAGGAAGATTGGTCACTGACTCAAGGACCTTCCAAATGTGGGCATCTTCTAGCACTATGCAGTCTTTACTTTTGCACCGTAAGCAGAATTGCTATCGCCTCACCACGCGCCAAAGGGTATGGTGCTTTCATGGGTGGAGTGCACACATCCAGACATGTTCCATCTGCTGAGAGGGTGTGACAGACTGGGTAGAATTTCCCCATTTCTCCCAACTCAGGCTCTCTTTCATTATTCCCAAACCCTCCATTTGATTGATTTGCTAAAGTTACTTCTTCAAACAAATAAGTGGGGACAACAGGTGGAACTGGCCAGTTGTGTGCCAGTTTTTACCCCTTTCCCTGCCTGCAGGACTTGATAAGCTTTAGCAGCCGTGCACCTCAATCCGGGCACCCTTTGTTCCACTTTAGGCAGCATAAGTTCTTGAATCAGCCTTGTCAGATTCCCCCGCCCCCCTCCCCTTTTGGGGGCAGGTAGTTGTTTTCTGCTTAAAAAACCAAAAAACAAGTCTGTATTAGTACTGTTCAGCTGTTTTTCTGCTATGTTTTTATTTTTATTTTAACCTTTGAAATCTGCAACCTGTCCTACAGAACACTCTCTTAGGTCCAGGTGACTTATAAATGTTTTAATTAGATCCTTGCACAGAGACTTAGGTTCCCATACACACAAATGTGCCCTATAGATCTACTGTTTCTTACTGCATTTCAACATCTTTAATCCCCTGCTGTTTACTATCAGTATATAATATCGATATAGTATACAGTATACTACTGTATCCCATATCCAGTGTGCATGAGGGTATAAGTGAGAATTATTATATGGGAATGCCCCTTCATGCATCCATGTGGTGTAGTGGTTGGAGTCCTGGACTGGGACTTAGGAAGACCTGGATTCAATTCCCCTCATGAAGCTTAATGGGTGACTTTGGGGCCAGTCACTCACTCTCCCCTAACCCACCTCACAGGGTTGTTGTGGTGAGGATAAAATGGAGAAGGAGCAGAGGATCATGTATGCTATTCTGGGATCCTTGCAAGAGGAAATAGGGTGGGGATAAATGTGTTGTAATGTAATATTAATCTGATTATTATTCAGTTCTTAGTAGTTTATGCCAAAAGAAAATAATTCACTTTTAGGTGTCACATGTGTTTTTTTCACCTGCCTTCTCCCTCTGACTTTATCTATTTGCAGTCTGACTCCCAAGTACAGCAAAACCTCTAATGTAAAAAAGAGACCCTAGTTAAAGTTTTCTGGCAGGCATATACAAGTTTTAAGAACACTTCTTCATGATCCCCGCTGTAGTAGTACGTTTGAAAATAAGACCATTAGGCTAAGAGTATAGATTAGAGAAGTGAAACCAACTGTACCCAAGAGATACTCATGCAGTTTTTGTTTTTTTTTTTTTAATATGATGTTTTGCCAAATCAGTCATTCTAATTGCTTTTGTTTTGCTTTGTTCTTAGTGGGGAAGCTGACTGTTGTGAATTCTGGGGAAAGCTGCCCTAGTGGAATGGGACTTCCTGCCTCTGTTCTGGACTCAGCTGATAGCTCTGGCCTCTCCCATAGAAATGGGACCTCTTTAGTGCTTGTAGCAGCAGTGTCCCAGATAAAGACAGTGTAGCATTTTTGGAATACACCCAAGAGTGTTGACTTTCAGTCTGTCCTCTCCCGCTGTCTTCAATATTCAGTCCTGAATAAAGTTTCAATTCTCTCTCTCTCTCTCTCTCTCCCCCTCCCTCCCTCCCTCCCTCTTGGTATTTTGTACTTTTGGCAGAACAAGGAAGAGGATGCCCATTATTTACTAATCAAACTTTGAACAAAAAGTGTCTGCTTTCTAATACAAAACAATCAGATATTATAAATAGATGTGTGCTTTCCTGTAGAGTATTTTTTACATGTTTCTTCTACTGAACCCCAATATTATGACATCTTAAGCTTTCCAGATCCAAGGACACTTTGAAGTGGAGCCTTCCATTGTAACTCTTTTGAAAAGGGTAGCCATGCTAATTTTTCATAGGCTTCTGTTCCCTTAAAAAGGAACACATTTCTTATGACGTAAGATTTTATGGATTCTAGAGACCAGATTCATGAAAATGTGGCATAAGAAGTGTGATCCTTTTTCAGGTTCCAGAAAACTTAAGTGATGAATGCCAACGAGGCTGTAACCAGAATGAGCCACTGAGGTTTGCCATAGTAAGACGGGGTAGAGGAAGAACATGGTGAAAAGCAGGCATGTCCTTTTTCCACAAAATGTGGGCAAAATGTAGAAACAAAAAATGGAAAATGGGTGGAGCTCCCGGCGTGTTTTGCTGAAAATTCCTCCTGGCTGTGCTGGCTGGGAACTATGGGAATTGCAGTCCAAAACCAGTGGAGGGGTCACCATTGGGGTAGGCTGTGGTAGTTTATGCATGAAAAGGAGGAAAGTTCTACCCAAAGAACCATCTGGAAAAGAACTGAGTGTGCCCAGTAGCCTCCAGAAGCCCCTGGCCTGGAGGGTTCACTTGCAGATGGAGAAGGTGGTGCAGATGTGTGCGGGGGAGAGAGTTTATGTGTAGTTTTAAGTGGAAAGGGAGACAGGAAGTCTGGAAGAGTGCCACTGGTGGAAAGGAAAGCAGAGAGAACTATTAAGAGCCTTTTAATACGTATGCACAAAGAAGTTTAAGCCAGACAACATGTGGATCATGAAACAGAAGATAGGTTTTAAATTGCAACTAGCAAGATGGAGAATTCTGGCAGCAGACCTCTGAAAGGAGTAAGTCAGTCATGTTGGAGGTAAGGAAAGCCAGAGAAAAGATTGCTTCAAACAGTGTGTACCCATGGAAGGAAGTGTTCCTGTACTTGCGAGGTTTCCTTACAGTGGCTTGGTTCTCCTCAGTTAGGCTGGAGATCTCCAGCTGATGGAAAGCAACAAACAGCTACAAATTCATTCCATTCTCTCTCTCTTTGGTTGCATTATGCCTAGCTCAATTTTTTTAAAAATAACAAAAACAGAACTCATATTTGACACAAAAATAAAACAATACAAATAATATAGTAATGGTAAACATATTCAAACAATGCAATAATAACAGTGCCACCTCCACCAGGACCAGCAGATACATGCTACTTAGTGCAAAATCATGTATTCATTCAGGTTGCTCCATTCCCACTCCACTTCCAGAACTACATTGAATCTTGTGGTGGCACACCTTCCTTTCCCTTTATTAAAACATATCCAATAAATGGTTTCCAAATATCTTCAAAATTATTTTTACTTATCAAACCTTTTTCCCACTTAATATTGCAAGTTAACTTAGCTATATTCCAGACTTCTTTATACCAATCATGTATTTGGTAATCACCTTTTACTTTCCAGTTCATTCATTCCATTCGCAAAGTTTGCATGATGGAGCATTAATGGAGGCCACTGGATCTTGGCCAAGATGCAGAAAACAGCAGGGAAGAGTTCCAGTGCATGCCAGCTTCTGATCTTAGGGTTACTGAACAAAACTCAACGTGACGCTTTGTAATTGGACTTTGTTAACCTTTTTAAACGTTCCTGGGGGTCTTGAATAAGACTGCTGGCTAGCTTTTGCTGCATGAACAGCACATGTTTTCCCCTGTGGTTACCTTCTGCCTCGTATGTGTAACTGAGGTGGGTGTTGACTGGCTGCAGAGGCACATCAGATTGTCTGAGATAACACAAGCCTGTGTGCAGACATGTGGCTACTCTGTTAAGGTTTGCACAAGCCACACATTTAGAGAGCAGACAATGCAATTCTTAGCAGAATGAAAAATGCCAAGCTATGTTTAAGGTTTAAATATGATACATACATAGGCTTTTCAGCCATTCAGTATCCACACCAAGTTTAGAAGACATTTTAGGAACTTTAAGGAGAACAGTGTGTATGATACAATTTTTATATTAATCCTTTAATCTGTTGCTATTTTCTTAAAACTGAATGTCAGCTAAAATAGATTAGTGTTTTTATGAATAGTCGTTATGCTTTTAAATGACTGTTCTGGTGTTTGGCTTGCCTTGTGATTTTATTGTGCCCTCTAGTGGGGAAGTTGCATAGTCTGCGACACCATTGGAATTCAAAAGGTCCTCACACGAGTGCCTGTGGGGCAAACTAAGCAGCTTTGGGACATGCGGGGCTCCTGAATGGAGTACATTGCTACATCTTTTAATAAAGGAAACGTCTCCTGATCTATGACGATTACAAACACATTCAGGAGTGAAGGCAGTGGATCTCTTTCTTTTCAGGAATGGCAAAAACTGAACTATGACATCTATACCTTACGTCAGATGCGAAGGGAGGTGAGAAGTAGATGGAAACACATTTTGGAAGATTTGGGTAAGCGTTTAAGTTGCATTTGCTTCTATTCACATGAATTTAAATAAGTCACTAGATTACTGTGTAAGGAATCAACTTGAAAGAGGTCATCTGCAATGCAGGAGTGAAGCACCCACCCTGGCACCCTCCTGATGTTTTGGACTTCTGCTGCTCAGGGCCAATGGCAACTGGAGGAAGAACAAAACGTGTATGTTTTGGGCTTTTCCCCAGATCGCTTCCTGATGCAAGGAAGCAACAGATGCCAAAGTGTAGGAGAGTCCTATGCCTAGGAGGAGAGAAGGCAGGGTTTCCACTTGCGGCAGCTGTGCGGCTGGTTGAGAAGACCTTGTTTGTTTGGCAGAGAAGATGAATGAGCGGATGCAGGGGGGAGTCTCTGTGATCAAGGAAGAGTCTTCACTGGTGTCCCTTCATCACATGGTGCTTTGATGCTCTTGTACAAGCCATTCTTGTACTTTTCAAAAAAAAAAAAAAAAAATCATACGGTGTTGGCCCAGTAAAGCTGGGATCCCATTTCATATTTCAGGGTTGGGGAGAGTTCAGAAGGAAGGGTGATATTCTCATTTAGGTTTAGTGGCCTGACACTAGATACATTACAGATAAAATTGTGACATGAAAAAGTGTAGATCAAGAGAGATTGCTGTAGTTGAAAAAGGGAATGTTGCAGCACCTGAAAACTAAGGGCTTCTCTGCATGATTTAACCCAGTGCTTTGCCAAGGTTTGTTTGTTCATTTTGTGCAGAGGAGAAATAAGGTCCTTTTTCATGAGGTGTGCCTGACACCTCTTCCTGCCTTCCTCTGTGTCCCATTACACAACACAACATGGTGCTGTGGAATTGGAAGAATATATTAGAGTATGTCTAACACTTCTGTAGCAGTAATGCAGCCATGTAGGAATATGCCAGACTTGCTTTGCTCTAAAACTAAAGCCGCAGAAATGGCTGGAAACTTGGGCAAGGCCCCAGTGGGTGGCAATCCAGTGGCCACAGATTTCCTTGAGTGAGGATCGCAAGCACACAAGAGCTGCCTCTGCAGACCAGCCCGAGCCCATTTGCACATCACTGCTGTAATAACAAACGAAGCAGTTTCCCTGTCCTTTCAGTTTCCAAGCCACCTGGACATGCAATTGCTTGTTGTGGGGTTTGCTTGGCCCTCCACAGGCAACCCAGCCCATGGGTGGGGGCAAGCCCAAGAACCAGCAAGCTGCTTGGGAAGCACAATGCAACCCCGTGCTTCCACTGCTGGTGCCAGCACTCCCCCTCCCCGAGCCCACTCGGAGCTTGAAGCAGTAGTGTGCAGTGGCGATGCCGCGGTCTGCGCATGGCTTGCCTCAAGCCCAGGTAGTGTGTGGCGGATACTGAGCTGCCCCCATCCTGGTCCTCCAAGTGTGAACCTGCCCAGTCTGTAGGACCAGTAAGTTACCCGGAATTCCAAGTGCTACTGAGGGATACTTCCACATGCTCTGAAATGGTTCTTATTCCCACCAAACGGCTTTCATTAAGCCTTTCAAAAATTCCTTAAGCCTGTCTTTGTAAGAGCAGCTATGGTAGTGTGGAGAGAAACATCTGATAAACATGAAAGAAGAAATAGATTTTCCGAATTCTGTGCAATGACGAGACATTTCACTCTTTGCACCTCTTGCTTTACCCCACGTCTGAGTGAAATTTTGCCTAACATTAGGGAATGTTGGTCCCTTCTGCAGCAGTATGTCCTAAATCTAATGTTCTCCAAGAGTGGAGTATTGGTTAAGATGGGACTCCAAATTCTTCTGCCTTAGGTTTTCAGAAGGAAGCAGATACACTGTTATCAGTGACCAAACGAAGCATTATTAGTGACTCCCAGAATATGAGCAAAGCCCGTGAGATCCTCTTAAAGCTGTCTGAAGAGACTACTATTTTCCCAAGAAGCTGGGAGCTTTCAGAGAGGTACCTCTTTGTGGTGGTAAGTCTCTACATCTCTCTTTCCATGATTGCTTTCAAGCATGCATTCATGAGACTGCTCTCAGAAGAGGCACCCAATGTCACGTTCAGCATTTAAATCAAATGAACAAAAAGCCAAGCCAAACCAAAACGTGAAATTCAGTTGGACAATGGGACTATGTTGGTTTAATTTCTGTTAAATTAGGATAAAAACTATGACTTGGTCAGGCCTGTGTATTTTACAAGTTTCCTGTCCATTGGGCATCTAGCAAAATATTCTGCTTAAGTCAGCCTTTCTTTTGGAAATTTAGATTTCTTGTCCTTTTGGTTGTACAGAACACCCTAGAAGTGTGTGAACAATTTACTGTTTAAAGGCTAGGAAGCCATAGGGAGGGTCACTGTTCATAGCTTCCAGTAGCCAGAAAATGAGGGTGACATCCTTGGTACTCTCACTGGTGGAGCTGCTGCTGTCAACAGAACTGGGGTGTTGGGTGATCCCTCTTTCCTCCCGTTCTTGTGTGTGCTCGCAATCAGCTTTGGAAAGTTGGGAGATTTTCTGGAGCAGATTTCCAGGAGGCACAGGGGAGCCACAGCGGGGCAGAGAAAGTCTTGGCACATGAACAGACTTTCACTTGCATGGTGCTGGCTTCTCATGTGGGCTGTTTCATTTTGCCACTTGCCTCAACATACATCTTTCCAAACCCAGTCCAAAAAATTATAAATGTTGCTGAAAACTGCTGTTTTAAAAGATGAATAAGTGAATATACATACATAAGCAAATGTATGCTAACTGTTAGTATATTTATTTATTGTATTTATTATGTTTATACCTGTTCTTCTCCTGCAAAGAACCCAAAGCATCCTCTCCATTTTATCTGCACAGAAACCCTGTTAGGCAGATTAGGCTGAGGGTCTGTGACTCACCCACTGAGCTTCACAGCTGAGTGGGCACTTGAACCTGGGTCTCCCACGTTCTGGCCCAACCATCCAACCATTATGCCATGCTAGTATCATTTATTCTGAGGTAGAACTTTCTCTCCAAGAGTGCATACAGTCTTGCCCTCATGAATCAGTATTTATTAAAATACCCAACCCTTGCATTCGCAGTACAGAAGATTGTTTGTTTGAAGTTTTTCTGTACTGTCTTTCATGAAAAACCTCATGAGGGTTCACAAAATTTACAAGTGAAAAGGACAGATAAAGTTCATAATGTCCGTAAAACAATACATTTAAATGGACACTTGCATGCAGCAGAACAAAGAACTTGAACCAGTCACAAGTGCATTGCAGTGTGTTGCCAGAAGCCTAGCAGGGCTTGTCTGGCTGCCACCAGTCCTGCTCATTGTGGGTCCCCTCCGTGCCTGCCTGTCAGTAATGGAAGTGGCGCACCTGCGCTGCCTGGGGCACTGAACTTGACAGTACTGCAAGCTCATTTTGTTATGGAAGTGTAGCGATGAAGAGAGGGGTGAGGTGTTTTTGTTATGAAAGCCATAGAAGACACTGTTGACAGTGGCCTCTGCGTATCCTTTTGGCCGTTACAATTCTGTAGCTTTTTCTCTTGTGCAGGATCGTCTCATTGCTCTCGATGCTGCTGATGAATTCTTTCGAATCGCCAGCATAACGTATCCAAAAAGAATCTGTTCAGTGAAAGAAGAAGACAATCAGAAAATGGCCCAGTGTAATTCTGCTCTGTCATAAAGTACCGTTATCTCCGTACAACGATCCCCCATGGCTATTCCCCATGTTTGTATTTAAGTGACATTTTGATCAAGGGTAAACAAATTGGCTTCTACCATTTCATCAAGTTCTTCCTTATGTAGGGTATGTTGTGCCAGCAAATTCTCCGTTGCCCATCTATGCAATCGAGATTCTATGTTTCTTGTAATATTGGGTGACTCATGTTCTTTACAACAATGTTGTTGCTATCAATATAGCAAAAATTAGTTCCCAGCAGCAAAAGAATCTTATACGGGGGCTGACTGCACGATACAGCAGCCTGCCACGGGTTCTTCACCCACAGAGAAGGTGCAGTGTGTATGGCCACCATTTTGCATATGCAAATATCATACTGTGTAAACACAGCATGGTTGTCATACTATGTACACCTGGCAAGCATGGGCTATCTGGATTTGTATCACCCGTGATCCAGTTTAGAGTTTTGCAAGGGTTGTTTAGACCAGATATAACCTGCACTTGCCGGGTTTGCACAACATGACAACCCCTACGTTGGGTTTGCACATGCAATCTGGCACCTGCTGGTGCCACAGTTCATTGTGGGTTAAGTAACCCACCATAAGCTACAGTGTATCATCTAAATCTGGTTGCTGTCTTAAGCAGTATTTTTGGCAGGTGATGAAACAGAACATCAAATTCAGTTCTTTGCAGATGAGACTTTGCTTAAAGACGTAAAACAATCTTCCATAGCTATTTCGTATTGATCAGTCCCAACAAGCATGTTCCACTGTTCCACTGTGAAAGATTTTTGTGTAAGTATCTATTTTCAGATATTGTACTGGAAAGCAAATATAGCCCTCTTTTATAGGAAAACACTCTAGAAATTATCTTAGGCCTGATAACTGAGTGTAGGTGCTTCCTCTGCTCCCCTGACTATTTTGATTACATTTTGAACTTGAACATTCCTGTCTGCTTAAAGTTTGATGAAATTTGGGGCCAAAACAGACATTAATTTAAATCCATTTCTAACAGCAATGCCTTCCCCCTCCCCTTTTTATGCTAGAGTATATGCCAGGCCCTTAATCTGGATGGGACCCATAATAGGGAAAAGGTCCCAGCTTGGACTGTGGTCTCTAGGGCTGCTGTCAATTAAACATGAAAAAAGACATACCTGGTAGATAAAGAAATGCTTATTTTGGCCCTAAGCATTCAGTCACTGAGAGGCACAAAATGTTTGGCGTTTCTATTTTCATGTAACTGTTTAAACAAATGTGCGCTACTTTACAGAAACTTACACTGTGTTTGCGAATGATACGAAAACAAATGATATAAGATGTTTTAATATTGCCTGTATAGTATCTTGCTGTTTTTTGTCTGGCAATTAGCAATAATTTTAAACGACAGATATGCTGATGGCTCATCACCTTTTTTAAAAGCAAAAAGCCTGCTTCTCTCACCAAATGGTATTTGATTTTTGTGGATGCGACACAGTGAACAAAACAAGAGACTTTTTTAGTACTTATATGAGTGATGTTCATATACTTTTCTTGTTGAGCTGTGAGTGTGTTTTGTCACTTTTCCTAAAAAATGTTGTGTATCAATTATTTACATTGGTACCTTAAATTAATAAATAAAAGTCTTCTATGTGATTATTCTTTCCCCACCCGTTTTCTGAAGAATGTGTTATTTCTGGATTCACACTGAAAGAGAGCAGTGCATGTGAGACTCTGAGAACATGAGGCATGATATGTTTCCAGCTTTTCTCTAAGAACTGAAGAAGAGCTGTGCTGGATCGGACCACTGGTCCATCTCGCCCCCACTGGGCTAACTAGCTCCCCACAGGGCCCCAAAGGCAGGATGTGAGAGCAGCAGCACCCTCCTGCCCAAGTTCCCTAGCAGCTGGTGCAAGCAGGCACACTGCCTCTGATGCCGGAAGCCGCGTGTGGCTATCAGGACCAGTAGCCATCAACAGCTGTTCCCTCCAGGAATTTGTCCAATCCCCCTTAAGGTGTCCAGACTGGTGGCCATCATCATATCTCATGGAAGCGAATTCCATCGTTCAGCTGTGTGCAGCATGAAGATACGCTTTCTTTTTACCCGTCCAAAATCTCCCACCCGTATTCTACTTATTATGTTTTTACTATGACAGAGGAAGAAAAATGGCATGATCCTCTTTGAGCATAATCCTCTATACCTCTACCATGTCTGGCATTTCTCCTGAGGTAAATAATTTCAGCTGTTGTAACCTTTCCTTGGCAGCTTGTGTGGGAAAGGAGTGCAGTGGGTGGGCTCCCCAGCTGCTGCTCCCGGCAGCCAGTGGCCTTCCTTGCTCGCTGCTGGCACTGCTGGTGGAGGGCATGGAAGAGGGGCGCTGCTTGTGCAGCACGTGGACTTTGATTCCTGGCAGGAGCCCTCTGTGCACGCACCGGGGACTTGGACCCCGGGCCTCTGCAAAGCAGGCATGGACTGGGAAGTCGAAACCAGTGAATCCAGCAGGTGGATTTCTTGCACGTCCCTCCTTGGCAGTTTTTTCAATGGCTTTCCTAATTCTGCTTAACATCAAGTTTCCCTTTTTCACAGCAGTTGCACACTGAGTTGACATTTTCATCAAACTGTCGAGCAGAACCCCAACATCTCATTTGCCTATACTTGAACTTTTTTTTTTGACACAGAATCCATTACTTTATACTAGCTTAGATTGAACTGTGCTTGCCATTTGGACACCCCTCCTCCCAGCTTGGAGAGATCCCTTTGGAGCTCCCCACTAGCCCTAAAGAGGTCAGCAAATGTGGCCACATCACTGCATACTCCTAATTCCAGAACATTTATGAATAAGATGAAAAGCATTGGTCCTAATACAGATCCCTGTGGGGCCCTATTGATTACCTCCCTCAATCAGGAAAAATTGCCATTAATCCCCACTCTCTGTTTTCTTTAACCAGTTACTGAGCTATGAGAGGACTTTTCTTCTTATTCCATGACTGCTAAGTTTGTTCAGGATTCTTTGGTGATGGACTCTCTGAAAAGCCTTTTGGGAACCCAAATGAACAATGTTGATCAAATCACTTCTGTCTGTATGTTTATTGACACTCTCAAAGAACTCAAAAGGTTGGCAAGACAGGACTTCTCTAATTAGACTGAGCCACTGTGGAAGACGTAACATTCCCTGGCCCTTTCATATTATTTTTCATATTTTATGAGACTTACAGTGCATTTTGTATTCAGAAGCAAGACCTATGGTGTTCAGTGGAGCCTCTTCCCTAGTATGCATGTAAGTCTATTTTGCAAAAGTAGATCTGTTGTGCAGCACTGTTGTGTTTCAGTTTGTAGACGGAAACTATTTTTGGTGTGATAGAAATTCTTCCCAGAACCATTTTAATTGTGGAAATATTGGCACCCTGTTTAATCATACATGGCTCCCAAGGCCCTGACTAAGCAGTGGTCCACTACTTGGGGAAGGTGTGGTGAGCCCCTTTCAGTCTGAAGTACAGGGCATTTATACACACTTTTCTTTCAGTCTGCAATGCAAGATGGTGCACAAGATGGTCTCCAGGGTCTCTCTCATGTAGGAACTGACCAGGCCCAGACCTGCTTGGCCTCAGCCCCTCAGAGCTGCCCTGCTTGGGCAAAGACTCTCTCCCAAAGGAGAGGCCATTTATCAGCTGATTCTAATATAATATTGCGGGGGTGGGGGGGTTGCAATGCCAGTCTCGTCCTCCCACTGGTGCTGGGGAAACTGAAGGAGCCTGATTAGCTTAACTAATGTTACTTGCTTTTAGCTTAACTAACGCTATTTGCTTTTGTAAACAGCCGCTTGCACAGGAGCTTGGTCAGCCTAACAAACGCCATTTGCTTTTTGTATAACTGCTTGCTTTGGAGAGGAAAAAGGGAAGGCAAAAGAATGTTGATAAAGAGGCAGTGCGTGGAAGAAGACCCCCCCCCCCCATGCAAGGACTGGCCGCAGTGGTCACGCTCCCCCAGTGAGGGGATTGGGCGTAGATTTCCAGAGAGAGAGGAAAGCGTTTTTCTTTTACATTCTGGGGACATTTGCTGGTAAAGTGTTGAAAATTTGAGTGGTTGTGTTCAGCAATTAGCCTGAGCCGTAGCAGGCTGGAGTTCAACAGGGGAGAGTATAAAATCAGGGGAAGATAGATTGTAGTTAACCATTAATAAATATATTTTTGCCCAAATTGGCTAGTTTTTCTTCTCCTGTTCAACTTGCAACTGTTTGGAAAGTGGAGTTAGAGTGGAAGGCAAAAAGATTTTTTTCTGGATTTTGTGTGTGTGCCATGTGAGAATGAGAGTGTGCATTTGACAGGAATTCCTTGATTCAAGGGGTGCTTGGTGTGAGTGAGCATTCTAAGAGTTTTAGTAAATGGTGATTGGGTACTTTTTCTAAAAAAAAAAAAAAAAATTGAAGAAATGTGTAACTTTTGGGGTAAAGAAAAGAAAAAACAAATGAACAAGAGAGGGATGGTCCACCTTGCTAAGAGCACGCCGTTATTTAACTGCAGCCTCTTCTCTGGATTTGGTCTGGCCAACTGAATTCAGGGAAATCTGTGCTGGAAACTATGGAAGAAAGGGGGATTCTCTGGCAAGAAGGAGCAGCACACACAAAGCCTCTGAGCATGTGCAGAGTTCAAAGCACTTTGGGAGGTTGGAGCAGCTCTGCTTTCAGCCACAGGTTGAGGGAAGGCTTTCACTAGTTCTCAAAAGAAGTCTTGGAATATCTAGAAAACTCAAAAGAAATCTTGGTGTCTAAAAATATATATAAAAGAGGTTCTATAACTGAGGCAAGGCATTTGAGGTTCTTTGAGTGTTCAAAGCTTTTATTGTCTCAGGAAAAATTCTGCCTGGGAAGGCTTGGGTTAAAACAAAGACCCTTAAGCATCCACAATGAGGAGGAGCTAGGGGAAGTTCTTTTAAGGAAGGAAAACCTTCTAAAAGCAATGTTGTGAGCATGTGTCAATTGTGTCAGCCATCAAGCGTTTTCCCTCTCCAATAACCTTCATTTTCCTATGCAACATGGATAAACATGTTCTCAGTTCTGAATATACCATCTTGTTACTACCATGCTACAGCTGAATGGTTGGGAGGGAATGGATGAAACTCTGGGGGTGTGTATGTGTGTGCGCACATGTGCATGCAGTGGGAGGATTTCTTTTCAAATCAGTGAAGCTACTTTGAGTTCAACAAGAAGTTTGTTTTCTTTTTCCTTTTTGCAATGTTGCCAAATATTTTTGATCAGGCCCAAAAATTTACAAGGAAAAGAATCTGTGGGATGTGTTTTATATCAACATTAAAGCAGGGGATGATGATCGTTATTGTTGATGGTGCTAAAAGAAAATTTCCCTTACAGTAGTCTAATGTTTGTTGGGGACTGAGCCCAGTTGCCAGCCCAAGGATGTGGGCAGCCAAAATGGCAAGTTCTCTTCCAAAAAAAAAAAAAAAAAAAAATCTTTTCATGAACATAAGCACTCGTGTTCATCTAAGTGTTCAAGCATTGATTGTTTGTTGAAATGTATGCGAGTTCAGGTTTGTTTGTACTCACAATGGGTTGGTGCATTTTTTATCTATGTATGTGTCTGGACTGGACAAGTGTGGGGAGAGGATCAGGGCTTGGGGAGCAGGGTTTTAGAGGCACAGCAGGGACTGACAGGACTCCTACAGAGAGGGGCCAGGTATCAGGGAGGATGGGAGGAAGGAGGAGGCTGGGAACTCCAAGGGAAGGAAGCGGTGGGAGGAGTTGAGGTGCATGTACACCAATGCTAGGAGCATGGGTAATAAGCAGGAAGAGCTTGAAGCTCTCCTGGGAATAGGGGGGTATGACCTGGTGGGGATCACGGAAACTTGGTGGGATGAAAGGCAAGACTGGAATGTGAACATAGAAAGGTATCATCTTTTTAGAAAGGACAGGAAGGGAAAGACTAATAGAGAGGAGCTGATAGATGGAGTACAGATTAGGGGAGCTCTGGATGCGAGTCATCACTTCATCCTTTGCTTTGAGATCAGGGTAATGGGGACGTGCAGTAGGTCGAGCACTAGAAGCTGGGACTTCAAGAGGGCCAACTTTGGCCAGCTGAAGGCCAGACTGGGCAAAGTCTCCTGGGATAGGGTACTGGAAGGCAAGCGAGTTGAGGAGGGATGGATAGCACTCAAAAGGGAGGTTTTGGAGGCGCAAGCCTTGATGATTCCTCTAGTCAGTAAGGTGGGGAAGCGGAGGAGAGCTCCGTCATGGATGTGAAAGGAGGTGGTTAGAGGGATTAGACGAAAGAGGAACCTCCATAGGAAATGGGTACTGGGGCAAATAGACAAAAGGGTAGCAAAAGGGACATGGGGAATTACAGACCACTTAACCTTACGTCAGATCTAGTGATGCTAGATAGGGAAGGGAGGCTGGCAGCCACACAACACGGCTTCCGCAAAAACAGGTCCTGCCAAACAAACCTTGTGGAATTCTATGACAAGGTTTCGAGGTGGGTAGATGGACAGGATGCAGTGGATGTGGTATACCTGGATTTCAGCAAGGCCTTTGACAAAGTGCCCCATGATATCCTGGTGGAGAAACTGAAACCATGGATTAGGGCATGGTTGATTGACCGAAAGCAGAGGGTAACCATTAGTGGGGAATTATCGGGATGGCAGCCAGTGACAAGCGGGTCC